AGGATTGCATCCTACCACCTGAGCCACATCTCCACATCCAGATTTTTGGTGATTAATTGGAGATAAGAATCACACTGGCTTTCTAGCCTGGTGTGCCTTCAGACTGCAATCCTCAGATTTCAGCTTCCTGAGTAGCTGGGATTACAGTTAGCCACTGGCACCAGGTAGATTTTTTTTTTTTTTCGTCAGTTGTGGGCCTTGAACTCTGGGCCTGGGCACTGTCCCTCAGCTCTTCACCTCAAGGTGAATGCTCTACCACTTGAGCCACAGCACCACTTCTGGTGGTTTATTGGAGATGAGAGTCTCATGGACTTTCTTGCCTGGGCTGGTTTTGAACCATGATCCTCAGATTTTAGCCTTCTGAGTAGCTAAGATTATAGGGATGAACCACCGGCACCTGGCAGGTAGATCATTTTTAACAATATAACTTCAGAACTACAATCAGCTGCTTCCCTTGCTACCTTTTCTTATCCTTTCTTCCTAACCTCTAACAGTTGAATATCTTCCAGTTGTTTGCCACAAGCTCTATAAAATAAACCCTTTCTTTCACAGAATGAGAAACCTGGCTTTACAAACAACAGAGAAAGCAGAATTTAAGAAATGGGAGAGGCTTTTGGAGCTATAAGTAATAAATCCTACTTGTGTTTTGTTTTGATGGAGGAAACTGTGGCTCAGTATGATTAAATGATATTTCTGAGTTTTAGACTAGTTTTGTCCAGAATTCAAGTCTACTGACTCCCAAATTCAAGGGCACTCTATTATCTCTTAGAAATTAACTATGTCATGAAATGTGTACACCAGGCAGTTAATCAGAATGATTAAGAATGGTTGTTGGTAATTTTAGACTTAATTAGGGTATTTGTTCTGCCACTTGTTCTATTTTCTTATCTTCAAATGATATATTCAGTTCCTTGAAATATGTATGATGACTACCTTATGTGTATACGCCTAATATTTTGTAGTGACACAGTTGAAGATCTTTATTTTTTTAATTTAAATTTTATTGTAAAGGTGATGTACAGAGGGGATACAGTTACATAAGGTAATGAGTACATTTCTTTTTTGAACAGTGTTATCTTTTCCCTTGTTTTCTCCCACTTTTTCCCCTCCTGATTCCGTGTCCTCCAAGTTGTAAAGTTCATTTCTAACCTAGTGTCTAGTGAGTATCACTGTTGAATTGGTTCAACCTTTGTCCCACTGTTTCTAAACTTATATACAAGACAAAAGGTAAAGAAGTTTTTTAAAAAGTTAAGAGTTGGTGGTTCACACCTGTAATCCTAGCTACTTAGGAGGCTGAGATCTGAGGATCGTGGTTCAAAGCCAGCCTGGGCAGGAAAGTCTCTATGAGACTCTTATCTCTAATTATACACCAGAAAACCGGAAGTGGTGCTGTGGCTCAGGTAGTAGAGTACTTGCCTTGAGCTGAAGAGCTAAGGGACAGCACCCAGGCCCAGAGTTCAAGCCCCACGACTGATTAAAAAAAAACAACCCCCCAAAAAAAACCTCACAACCCCCCAAAACAAAAACAAACAAACATAAGAAACCAGTGACAACAGAGAATAAGGAGACCAAAGAAAGAAAAATAACCACAAACAGTACAATAAAAAAACCCCTCTTGTTCCCATTTCTTGGAGTTCATTTTGATAAGCGTCATCTTATATGGTCATATGCACATAGTTATTGAGCCATGGTGATCCTCCCCTAAGAATATCCTCCTTTGTTCTCAGTGTGAAAATGCTTAGAGTGCTATTTAATTAATCATATCTGAGTGTAATTATTTGCCTTTCACTATCCATTGGATTAATGTATATTTATAGACCTATTCCGGTAATTACAAATGAGGGAAACCGTGCAGCATATGTATCTTTGGGTCTAGCTTACTCCACTTAATGTAATTTTTTCCAAGTATTTCCATATCCTTATGAATGGAGCACTGTCATTCTTTCTGATGGGAGCATAAAATTCCATTGTGTATATATATCACATCTTTTTTTTTTTTTTTTTTGGTCCGGTCGTGGGGCCTGAACTCTGGGCCTGGGCGCTGTCCCTCAGCTCTTCAGCCCAAGGCTAGCGCTCTACCACTTGAGCCACAGCACCACTTACGGCTTTTTTTCTTTTTGCTTATGTGGTACTGAGGAATCGAACCCAGGGCCTCAGGCATGCAAGGCAAGCACTCTACCACTGAGCCAACTTCCCAGCCCCTATATATCACATCTTTTGATCCATTCATCCAATGAGGGACTTCTGGGTTGAGTCCATATCTTAGTAAATAATGGTAAATAATACTGCAGTAAACATGGTTGTGCTGATGGCATTAGTGTGGGCTGGTTTGTGATCATTTGGATAAATGCCTAGGAGTAGGATTGCTGGGTCATGCAGAAGCTCTGTGAGGAGTTTTTTGAGGAACATCCATACTGCTTTCCAGAGTTGCTGAACAAGTTTACACTCCCACTAACAGTGTAGTAGTGTTCCCTTTTGGCCAGCATCTGTTATTAGTTTTCTAACTGGGGTGAGTGGAATCTCAGTGTTGTTTTGATTTGCATTTCTTTTATGGCCAGAGATGTTGAACATCTCTGCATGTGTCTATTGGCCATTCTTATTTCTTCTTTGGAGAAGTCTCTCTTTAAGTCTTTAGCTTATTTATTAATGGGGTTGCTGTTTCTTAGAGGATTTGTTTTTGGGGGTTTAATTTTTTGAACTTTAAGTATATTTTAGATATGAGGCCCTTGTCTGATGCATAGCTAGTAAAGATCTTCTCCTGTTCTGTGGGCTTTCTATTTACCTTACTATGTTTTTTTGCCATACAGAAATTCTTCAATTTTATGCAGTCCCATTTATCCAGACTTTCTTTCATTTGTTGTTTCTGGCTCTTAGGAAGTTTTGACCAATGCCAACGAGTCCTAGTGTTTCCCCTATCCCTTCCTATAATATTTTCAAGGTATCTGGTATTACATTGAGGTCTTTGATCCATTTGGAATTTATTCTGGTGCAGGGTGATATATAAGGATCTAACTTCAGTTTTCTGCACTTGTATAGCCAATTTTGCCAGCACCATTTATTGAAGAGGCTGTGTTTTTGGCTATTAGGTGGCTATAGGTCTTTTGGTTCATTTCTGGGTCTTTGATTCTATTCCATTGGTCTTCAGGCCTGTTCATGTGCCAGTACTAAGTTGTTTTTTTTATAACTATAGCTTTGTGGTCTGGGGAAGTAGCATAGTGGTAAAGTGCTTACCTAGCATGCATGAAGCCCTTGTCTTGATTCCTCAGTTCTACATAAGCAGAAAAAGCCAGAAGTGGTGCTATGGCTCAATTGCTAGAGTGCTAGCCTTGAACAAAAAGAAGCTCAGAGACAGTGCCTGAGTTCAAATCCCAGGACTGGCCAAAAAAAACCCCAAAAAACAAAAAACAACTACAGCTTTGTAATAGAGTTTGAAGTCTGGTATTGACATTCCTGCTTAGGATTGTTTTTGCTATTCAGGGTCTTCCATACAAATTTTTGGATTGCTTCTTCTGTACAATTGAAGAATTTTGTTGGGATTTTTATGAGTATTGCATTGAATTCATAGATCACTTTGGACAGTATTGCCATTTTCAGTAACACCATTTTCATGATGTAACACCATTTTCATGATCCTTCCAATCCAGGAGCATGGGAGGTTTTCTACTTTAATTTCCTTCTTCAGGTTTTTAAAGTTTTCATCAAAAAGGTCCCTCACACCTTTGGTTAAATTAATTCCTTCTATTTTTTTGAGGCTATTACAAGCACACCCAAATAAAATTAGAGACGACCATCATGATAGAGACAAACAAAATTCAGAACATTATAAGGGAATATTTTGCAAACCTTTATGCTAACAAATTGGAGAATCAGGAAGAACTGGAAGATTTACTAGCAAATACTGATTCACCCAAACTAAGCCAAGAAGAATAAACCAATGAAATAGATCCATAACAAGTAACAAAATAGAAATGGCAATAAAAGATCTCCCATCCAAGAATATCCTAGGATCAGATGAATTCACAGCTGAATTCTATAAGGCCTTCAAAGGAGGACTCACTCGAACTCTTCAATAAAATTGAAAGCAAAGATAACTATCAAATTCATTTTATGAAGCCAGCATAACCCTCATCCCCAAACCTTATATTTTCAATGTAAGACTGCCTCTTACATTTCTTCAAAGTTCATGTCTTAGCTTTCATACCTACTAGATTTTTATTTGACTGTTATATTTAAAAAGAGGCAAATAAAGAAATAGTCCCCTTGTTAAAAAGAAAGAGAACTATAGAACCATCTCTTTGATGAACATTGATGAAAAACTTATTAATAAAATTCTGGCCAACCGACTTCAACAACTAATCAAAAAATCATACACTATGATCAAATGAGATTCATTCCATGGTTCAATATATGCAAGTCAATTAATGTAATTCAACACATCAACAGGAGCAAGGACAAGAACCATATGAACATCTCAATAGATGCAGAAAAAGCATTTGATAAGATCCAACACTGCTTTATGATCAAAAGCTCTGGAGAAGCTAGGAATCCATGGAATTTCCTCAATATAATAAAGACTGTATATAATAAGCCTTATACAAACCTTATACATTATACTTAATGGTGGAAAGTTAAGACCATTTCCTCTAAAAGTCAGGAACAAGACAAGGATGTCTGCTCTCACCATTCCTCAATATTGGAATTTCTAGCTAAAGCAATACGGCAAGAGACAAACATAAAGGGGATCTAAATAGGGAAAGAAATAAAACTCTACTTCTTTGCAGATGACATGATCCCGTATTTAAAGAACCCAAGTTACTTGAGCTAGCCAGAAACTTTGGCAAAGAAGCAGGGTATAAAATTAACCCACAAAATTCAATAGCTTTTCCAACATTCCTACATTCTAATTGCCAACAACGAGAAGAGTGAGGCTGAAGATTTTCTTCAAATAAGATTGCTCTTTTATGACCAAATTCTGAAAATGTTTTCTTAACTTTTTACAGATGTACATTCAGGGAAAATTAGTATTTGCCAACTTTATTTTCAATGGCTATAGCACATCTGCTAAAGACCTTCAAAAACAAATCGTGAAGACAAAGAATGATTATCGTATGGGATATTTTCTTCCTAAAGACTATAGGATTGGGTAAGTAATGATTACATACATCTTTTCTTTTCCTTCCTTCCCCTTTTTTGTGGTGGTACAAGGATTTGAGCTCAATTCCTTGCATTCATTTGGCTTGCTTGCTCCACTGGTGCTCTACCACTTGAACCACACCTTCAGTACAGCTTTTAGCTCATTTAAAAATGTATTGTAAGCCGGGCGCCAGTGGCTCATGCCTGTAATCCTAGCTACTCAGGAGGCTGAGATCTGAGGATCATGGTTCAAAGCCAGCTTGGGCAGGAAACTGTGAGAGCTTATCTCCAATAAACCACTAGAAAACTGGAAGTGGCGCTGTGGCTCAAGCGGTAGAGCGCTCACCTTGAGCTGAAGAGTGCATGGACAGTGCCCAAGCCCAGAGTTCAAGCCCCACGACCCACACAAAAAAAATTTTATTGTAAAGGTGATGTACAGGGGGGTTATATAACTACATAAATCAGGTATTGAGTACATTTCTTTTTGAAGTGTCACACCCTCATTTTCTCCCTTCTCCCCACGTTCATTTCCAGCACAGTGTCTAGTATCACTGGTTCATTTTTCACTCTTTGTCCTACCATTTCTGTGCTTCCCCTTACCCTCCCCAAATCAGATAAACTTACACATAAGACAAAAGATACAGAAATCAAAAACAGCGACAAAAGGGGAAGGACAGAAAATGAAAATGAACCACAAAAAGTAAAAAAAAAAAAATCCTTTTATTTCCTTGGAGTGTATTTCAATAACCATCATTTTAAATGGTCATATGCACATAGCTACTGAGCCCTTGTGATCCTAAGAATATCTTTGTTCTCACTGTGTGAATGTTTTGAGTCCCATTTATCATGTCCAAGTGCGATATTTTTGTCTTTTACTGTCCACTGGGTTTACTTGTGGATTTATAGGCACATTCTAATGATTACAAATGAGGGAAAACATGCCTATGTAATATATTTTTCCCAAGTCTATTTCCTTATGAATGGGCAATGTCATTCTTTCTGATGGAAGCACAGGATTCCGATATATATATATATATATATATATATATATATATATATATATATATATATATGCCACATTTCCTTGATCTCTTCATCCACTGAGGGGTATCTGTGCTGATTCCTTATCTTGGCCATGGTAAATAATGTTGCAATAAACATGATAGTGCTGATAGCTTTAGTGTGGGCTGGTTTGTGGTCAGTTGAATAAATGCCCAGGAGTGGGATTGCTGGGTCATAGGGAAGCTTTGTTTAGTTGTTTGAGGAACCTCCATACTGCTTTCCAGAGTGGTTGCACAAGTTTACATTTCCACCAACAGAAGTAGTAGTATTCCCATTACCACCAGCATCTGTTATTGGTAGTTTTTGTTTGACAATGGCCATTCTAACTGGGGTGAAGAACAATCTCAATGTTGTTTTGATTTGTATTTCTTTTATGGCCAGAGATTTTGAACATCTTCTATAAAATATCTAGAGGCCATTTTTACTTCATCTTCTGAGAAGTCTCTCTTTAGGTTGTTAGCCCATTAATTGAGTTGTTTCTTAGAGGATTTTTGAGAATTTAATTTTTCGAGCTCTAAGTGTATTTTAGATATGAGGCCCTTGTCTGATGCATAGCTAGTAAAGGTCTCACTATTTTTGAGATCAAATCTCTTGGACTTTTGTGCCCAGGATGGGATACCCTCTGGACCTCAGCCTTCTGGTATCTAGATTTTCACTTTTTAAACTAGCATATCTCAGACAAAGAGGCAAGCTTCAAAATGTGCCTTTATAGGAATTTATTCCTTGTGTAAAATCTTCCCTGGAAAGGGAGAAAGGGGCTTATTTGTTAAAAAGATCACTTCAGAGAAGGTTGGCCATTTTCTCTCTCTGTCAGGCGTGGGTCTTGAACTCTGGGCACCGTCCCTGAGCTCTTCAGCTCAAGGCAAGCATTCTATCACTTGAGCTACAGTGCCATTTCTGGTTTTCTGGTGGTTCATTGGAGATAAAGAGTCTCATAGACATTCCTGTCTGGGCTGGCTTTGAACCGTGATCTTCAGATCTCAGTCTCCTAAGTAGCTAGAATTACAGGCGTGAACCCATTGGTGCCTGGCTCCACTTTCCCTTTTTAAGGGGCATTAAGTCTACAAAGCCATTTTAGAACTTTCAGGAGTGTTCTAAAGAGTGTGAGTAAACCAATTTGACTACTGTTAAAGTATGAGTCTTGGATGTTAACTTCTCTGTTGATGTCAAGATGTCTTTTTTGACAGGAAGGTAATATCAGTCCACAAATACAACCTAATGTCACCAATGAAAATGGTGAAATTAGAACTTTTAACTTAAATGGCTGTTTTCACACTGCTAAATTAACATGTGAAGTATGTCAGAAATAAAAGTTGTGCTAATGAATCAAAACAACCACCATCTTAGCTTTTGTATATTAGATGCTGAAAAATACAATAATGTAATAAAGAGACAGAAGGGTCTTCTTTTTTCTCTTAATCCATGTTGTAAACAGCAGAATAAAAAAGGTACACAAAAAGAGAAATGTATAGCAGCACAGATTTTATTAAAGATGTTTTAAGTTTAGGATGAACAATAATACAGGAATATACAAATCTACAGTTGGGTTCTTATAAAATTCTTTAATAATGAAGTTAACAAAAACAGATATGATAAAATATGTTTTGATTAATAAAGGACTATGCTTATAAAAAGATATTTTCACAACAATCCATACCTGCATCATTCCTAATAACTCAGAAGGAGAAACAATCCAGATGTTTATCAGCAGATGAACAGATCAATGAAATGTGGCAAATATGTAGATTATACAGGCTTATAAAAAGAAATCATCTCATATACTACAATATGGAGAACATTAAGATATAACAAGAAGTAGAATAGTGGTCAACAGGAGCAGTAGAGAAGTAAAAAGGGGAGTTGCTACTTACTGTGTAAGAGTTTCAGATTTTCAAGATGAAGTCCTGGAGAATCATTTCACTACAGTGTGAATACACTTAACTTTCTCAACTATAGTCTTTAAAAATTTTTTTTTATTGTGAAAATACTGTACAGAGGGGTTACAATTACATGGGCAAGATAATGAGTACTTATCAAGCATTGTAGCCTCCTCCTTTGTTTCCCCTTCCCATCCCATCCACCCCCATCCCTCACCAAGTCCTCCTCCCCCCACCACTAAAGTCGTAAAGTTCGTTTTCGACATAACGACTTGTATGTCTCATTGTTGCAATGGGTCCACCTGTATCCCTATTTAAATGATTTGCTTTTTCCCTTCCTCTCCACAAATTATAACATCAAATACAGTGAAAGCAGGGGTTATACCGTGGGGGAGGGACATACAAAGCAACAAAGAAATAATCTTATAAATGTGTTAGAAACAATCCCATGAAAGAAAAAAAAAACATTTGAATACATATCTTAGGGTTCATTTCCCTAACATCAACTTAACTGACCTTTTCTGCTTGACTCAGACATATACTAGTTATTGCAAATAAGGGAAACCATGGATCAACTATATTCTTAAAAATAGTTGCTTTGTTAAAATCTATGTCATGACTTTTTTATTCCAATTAAAAACAGTTCCTTGCCTCCTCCTTCTCAATAATTATAGTCTTAAGTCTTCAAGGTCCTACCAAATAAAAACCCAGGATGGAATTTGTTTCAGATTATGTCAATATAGTTAACTATGCTTCCAGATGAGCACTGCAGAAAAGAAAACAGAGAAGTAGAAACACCAGAATGGAATCTTTGGAATGAGCATCTATGGGATCAATATGGATCAATTCCATAGTGCAGTATTTTAAGTGAGTCTCAATGGGCTCCCAGACCTATCTTAAAGGACGACCCACCAATTTAATTTTGCTAGTGTGATGAAAGCGTGGAGCAAGTGCACATTTTGGGTTTTTCTCAGATGTGCAGTTCTGCTGAAGCATTAGCAGCATGCATTTCCATTGTGCACCACAGCTTTTAGTTTGGGGTCTGTTCATATTATTTTAGAAATGCTATTTTCTAAAATAAACAAGTAACCCAAAATTTTTGCAGGTGATTGTAGCAATTGAGTTAAGGGATGAGTATATGTGATGAAGTTATTATATCATAATATTTAAAATCTGGAACAAGGAACAAAAATAAAAATTTATTAAAAATCTCCAAAATATGATGGAAAATGTAAGGTCTTAGCCTATTTCCATTATTATCACATGAGTTTGTTTCATGCTAATGAATCCCTAAAAGTGATCTCTGAAATGTTGCAGACTCAGTAATGTTAAATGAAAAAAATACTATTTTCAGAAACAAGAGGTTAAAATAAAATCACTTAAAACTGGAACCAGAGGGCAAATACAAAATGATCTTCACAAACTGCATAATCTTTCAGTTAACTAAGACTGTGGCAATGCTATTGAGTAAAAAGTATTTAAGAAAATAAAACTCAAGGGAAGAGGTGACACGTCCACAATAAAATGTACTCTTTACCTGAGTTATATAACTATAACCATCTGTACATCACCTTTATAACAACAATAATATATATAAGTTGAAAAAATAATCATCATAATAAAAAAACAATTTTGGAAGAGGGTTATTTTGAGATAGGGTTGACTTATTTTTGTGGTTGTTTTTACTTAAAATAGACCTTGTCATCTATGTTATTATTCGGCAATAAAATCACAAGAAAGAACCCTCTTCACTGGCAATTAATAATTACCACACAGAATTTTTGTTTGTAATGCTAGTCTGAGGAGACAGTATTGTTACCTAATGCTATTCCTCTAATTTAAAAAGGACTAACCAACTATTTGTTGCTATTAGATAGGCCCACATAAGAAAGACATGAATCTTGGTGAACACAGGATGTATGGTCAGGCTCAGGTTATCTTCATCTTCTTACTCTTGATGTTCCGGGAATGATGCGAGAGTTTAGGTTGGTTCTAGGATAGGCCCAGGGGCCTGGTTTGATCTGGGATCCCTGGGACCATACCTAGAACAAACCCAAACAAAACCAAACTCCTTGGAAGTGCTTTCAGCTTGGGCTGGCTTCTGGGCTTTTCACCCACACGGACCTCCAGGGTTGTCCCAGAATGATACCCCAGCCTTTCAGTGATGAGTGTGACATTTCTGAAGCCCCCCCCCCATACTGCTACATACTAGTGCTGTGCCCAAGGAAGCATTATTTAAGCCATAGTATGAACAGAAGGTACAACTGTGACAAAAGTGTGGAAAATATTTCAGTTTAGAAATAGAATTTCCTTAAGAATTTAGTTGGGAAGGGAAAAAAGAATATACAGTTGTAAAAAGCATGGTTTAATTTTAGGGGGAAAATCAACAATAGACTAATTTGTAGGTATCAACCTTTAGGAATTCTTACAAAAGTGAAAAATCTAAAGTTTAAAATAGCAAAATTACCTTACCCTAAGAAATTCTTAAGTATAAATGAGAGGAAATAGTCCTACAATCATAATTTATACTACTTTCATTTTTGAAGATACATATTCAAAAGTATACACAGCTTAGATAGCAATCTATTCCAATATGTTGCAAATTGCATTTCAAGATAAAACTATTTTCACTGCTGAAAGGCTAAGATAGATTAAAATGTACTTTTTTTTTTTTGGTTGTGGGGATTGAACTCTGGGCCTGGGCGCTGTCCTGCACTTTTCAGCTCAAGGTGAGCGCTCTACCGCTTGAACCACAGCGCCACTTCCATTTTTCTAGTGGTTTATTGGAGATAAGAGTCTCACGGGCTTTCCTTTCCGGGCTGGCTTTGAACAGAGATTCTCAGATCTCAGCCTCCTGAGTAGCTAGGATTACAAGTGTGAGCCACCGGCACCTGGCTAAAAATGTACATTATTTTGAAGATGTTGTGTGCATGTAAAACTTATTATACATTATAATATATGCATAAAATAGATTCTTCTTGCTAAACTTTTCCATGTATCATTTTTTAAGTAAACTGATTATAACTGTACTCAAAGAGAAACTTTCTCTTGTAGCACTAACCCACATTTGCATTGTGACTATCACTCCTGTAATGAGTCTTAACTCAATCCATACAATGGTTTTGGCATTATTTTTTATTATTATTATAACAACTCTCTTCCATTAGCATGTATACTTGAAAGCTATAGGTAACTTGTAGCATGGTCAGAAAATATACTTACCTGTCTGTACATGATGGAATCATTTAGTAACCATATAGTTACTAAAACACAGTATGCATGTTGGTAAAAATGAACTGTTTGCTGCTATGATAGCCACATCTATACAGATTTGAATTTCACTTGAAAATATAACATGCAAATTATGTTTATTTTCATTCAAGAAAAAAAATCTTAATAGTTTCACATACTCAATGACCATTTAAGTATGCCAAATACACACAGTGATACTCTGCCATTCAAATTTCAAGATAGTTCTTTCAGTATCATTAGATCCAACAGTAATAACTTATTGTCAACTTTTTTTTTTTTTGTTGGTCGTGGGGCTTGAACTCTGGGCTTGGGCGCTATCCCTCAGCTCTTCAGCTCAAGGCGAGCGCTCTACCACTTGAGCTACAGCGCCACTTCCGCTTTTCTGGTGGTTTATTGGAGATAGGAGTCTCACGGTCTCTTTTGCCTGGGCTGGCTTTGAACCGTGATCCTCAGATCTCAGCCTCCTGAGTAGCTAGGATTACAGGTGTGAGCCACCAGCGCCCGGCTTATTGTCAACTCTTAAAGTACATTTCCTTTATTTTATTTTATTGCTGATCCTGGGGCTTGAACGCAGGGTTTGGGCACTGTCCCTGGGCTTCTTTATGCTCAAAGCTAGTGCTCTACCACTTCAGCCAGTGTAATCCTCAGGATCTCCCGAGTAGCTATGATTACAGACATGAGCCAACAGCACCCAGCTTAGTACATTTTCTTTAGCTGAATGAAAACAAAGGCACTATTTTGAAAGTAGCATATTAAAAATTCTTTATAGTATAGTTGCAGAGTCTATAAACTTTATTCTCAGGTCTCTGTGATGATAATAAATGTTTTATTTTTCCAGGGCTTAATCTACTTCATGTCTTGGAAATGAAGACACACCTCCTTTGAAAACTGAAGAAATCTTACCAACTACTATCTGATTCAAATACAAAAATACATACAAAATGCTAACTCAAATGGACTGGTTTTAATCAGAGCCAAAGAATTGTGGTATAGAATAACTTAAAGGAAGTATGGAAACAAAATGGTTAACATTGTGTTATAGAATAATCATTCTTCTATTTGGTAAACAGGTATCTAACTCAGTAATTTCACTGGATTAAAGAGAGTAATGTAACAGGTGCTGGGTAATAGATACCACAAAAAAATCATGCACTAAGTAAACTTCTTCAGGTTTTTCTGCTTCATCTTTTTACTCTTACCTGGTAGACAGTTCTAACAAGTTTAGTCATCTGGTCTCCAAAACTAAAGCAGATCAGAAGACACACTATGAAGGTAGAGAAAGGCTACTACTGTTCGTTACAAACTCACTTAAGCAATGATATAAATGGAGAATCAGCACAACTATCAAAAGCAAAACTAAAACAGGTCTAGCAGAATGGAGCCATTTTGGTACAGGAACAAATAGTTCTTAGAGTTTAATTAGTTCATTAGGGCATAATAACTAACATTAATAGTGTTAATTTTAATATCAAAGGACTAAGCTATATATATTAAGAAAATAGCAAATCTGTAAGTTTTAGACTTCCTTTAGAAGTAAGTACAAAATATTTTAATGTTGGAAGTTTAAGTTCAACAGAAAACGGATTTCTAAAAAGAGTAATTTTTCAAATGGCCAAGTTAGTCAGTTCTTAGTAATATTTGCCTTGTTTAGCAAATTTTATTACAGAACTAAGCAAACCAAAGAACATTAAACTGTCCAACAGATATCACAAATCCACATGCTTTACTGACAGAAAAAGCCCTCAGCTTTGTTTCAGACTACTTACTCTTGGTTTAGACAATTCTAGCAAGCTTGCAATCTGGTTTCTCAGTCCATAGCAGCTTAGAAGCAGCACATTAAGGACCTACTGCAGGAGGCAGGCACACAAGACAGCAGCAAAAATGACAGCTGATTACAGAGAAAAATAGAGAAACTGTGAAAAAACAGACATAATTCAGAAAGCAAAGCAATGTGAAGTCATAGAGCAAAGGGGCACAGACACTATACATCTGAGCATCCCTGAGGAGACATATATCACCCAGTGAGAGGAGATGATGTTCTTAAAAGGTTAACTATGTTCTGTATACCTTAGCAAAAAAAAAAAAAAAGAAAAAAAGAATATTCACTTAGTTATTAAAATGTTAAACTCAATGACTAAATGGACTTGTTTCTATTACCTGAAAAATTAATTGATTCAAGTTAGTTATCTATCGATGATGATAGGATGGATGAATGAACCTAAGCAATACTTTTCTGTATTTTGCTAAAACATTTGTCGCTTCATTTTTTAATCTGACATGAACTGCAAAGATATATTCTCTTTAACAAAATAGGTAAAATGACTCTGCCTGGTTGTCATTCATATAGCATGTTATCTATGCAATTTCAAACACTGACTTAGCTGAGCTAAACCACAGCCTTACGGTACGTAGTTCGTGTATCCTTGCTTTATTTGGATACAGAAAACAATATACTAGGATAAAATCAAATGAGCTGAACTTATCTTCTCATTTCTAAAAATTTGACAAAAGGTTTCTTATTTTACACAGGATAAAACTAGTCCCCAGAGAAAAATGAAATCCAGGGTCCTAGGAGGTTTCTAGTTAACATTCTATGGACTTACAACTTTTGAAGTGGAACAGATATCAATTCTTTTACTGCTTTAACATTAACCTTTCTATCTTTTAAGAAGATACAAAGAATACAAAGATACTAGTTAAGAAAACTGATTTAAATTTCTTAAACTATTTTACAAATTTATAACCAAATCTTGCCTTTCAGTCTTAAATGTTTATTTCCTTTCTAAACATCTGAGAAGAAATTACCAATATCATTTAACAGTTTTTCTGGGGAAACTCCCCTTGACCTGTTCAGTTTGGCTGTACTCCTAACTTTGGAATGAAGAGTCTAGGATTTAAACTCCAGCCTATCCTTATGTAATCAAGTCTGACACAGTTCTTCATTAATATCCTTAGTAATCTGCCTTATGTGTCTCCTGATTTGCTTGTATCCAGTACTTAAGAATTCAAACTTGAGTTAATGTTTCAATTCCTAATGAAATAGATTCGGATACAGTGAGCTCAAATTACTCTAGTGAAGATTTAATCCATAAAGTGATATAAACACACAAACTTGGTAAATAAGCAAATCAAAGACCAGCAAGAGTCTAGCCCTAGACATGCCAGTGAGGTAGGGTTCTGACAGAAACAGAGGAAAAGGACTTAAGACATAACAGATGCCAGAGGTCAAGTACTGCCATGATTTTACAAAGAATCTTCCTTGGAGTATGAGGTTTGTCCTGGTAAAACAAATTGTGGCAATATTTGTATTAGAAGCTGTCAGAATGCTACTCCTAAGAAGAATTTGAAAAGCACAAGTTTTCCTAACAAAATGTTCTTCCCATAAGGCTTCTTCTAGATAAAGAGTGGAAACTATTAAAACTAGTCAAAGATCTGGTAAGAAAAAGTAAAATGTTCTTAAAAAACAGTAACAAGAACAGCAGGTTATGTTATATTGGCACGCTTGTTTATATATTCTAAAGTGTTCATGGCAAAAACAACTGTTACACAGATATTCTTGGATTCTGTTGGCTATAACATTGCCTAGTCTATATCCAAAATAATTAAGTAGTACAGAGAGTATGCCTAAGATCTGTAATAAGAAATAAGTCCTTTGATATAGATATCTGATAAACAACTAAGGAACACTGACTTCTAATAATATAAGAAAAGATTAGTCAGGAATTTTCATAGGGAAGACAGTATTTTATCTTGAAATATCTTAAAAGATAAAAAAAATTGCAAACATACAAAAAAGAATATTCACTTAAAGTTCCAAGCTGATTGTATTATGATTTCAGCAATAAATATTTTCATGACACTAAGTATAGCTAGCCAAATAAAGCAGATCAGACTGGCAGGTTGGGAATTTTTATTTATTTATCTATCTGTCTATTTATTTATTGTCAGTCATGGGGCTTCAACTCTGGCTTGAGCGCTGTCCCTCAGCTCTTCAGCTCAAGGCTAGCGCTCTAACAATTGAGCTACAGCACCCCTTCTGGTTTTCTGGTGGTTTATTGGTGAAAAGAGTTTCACAGACTTTCCTGCCTGGGCTGGCTTTGAACTGTGATCCTCAGATCTCAGCCTCCTGAGCAGCTAGGATTACAGGCATGAGCCACTGGTGCCCAGCCAGGTTGGGAATTTATGAGCAAAATAATTTAGTCTTTCAGGGCTAAAAATTCCTACCTCAGAGAGTACTGAATAAAACTGACAAAACTTTATAAAGATTCCCCCCCCCCCAGTTTTTCTTATATGAGGTTATATGGTGAGAGTTTACCAAATATTCCATAATTGCATTTTCCAAATTCAAGGAAAGATGGAGTTGGCAAACTCAATAAGTAATTTAAACAAGAAAGCAAATATTGTTATCTAGGGAAACAGATGGCATTTATAACACAAGAAGATTCTTTTTTTCCCCCTTAAAATTGAGCTGTTTCTGTGTTGCTAAGTCTAACCTAAGATACTGTTCCTAAGATGATAATTATGTTAAGTCCCAGAATTTTAGCAAAAGACAAAAATCACTTAAGCTACAAATGAGCTCTATTATTCATATCAAGCAGAAGCTTTTCCTCAGGATAAACAATAGTGGAAACAAAACACCATTCCTTTAGTTTGTCAATTTACTCACTAACAGTGATAAATTGCAGGAATCTGAATGTGTAAAGACAACCTAAAATCATGTAATTTCCTTTTTAAAACAGCAGCACAAATTGAATTATTCCTACATTTCTTCCCAAGGAATGTCTATAAACCATGTTAGTGCACAGGAGCTATAGGTTTCAAAACCAGTACATTAATGAAAATGTAATCACAACACAAAACAAGACTGATCAAAGCAGTCTTTTTTAAGAGGTAATTTGCAAATGAAATTCTAGAGAAATAATAATGCTTTCCAAGCAGCTGACAGGAGCTTCCCTGAATCTCATGAAGGTGAGTACAGCTAGAAAATAGCAGCACTGTCACCTGCCTGTGGCAATGATACATTAGCAAACAGATACAAAGAGCTTTCTTAAGGTGGGGGGGGGGTCTTTGAATGTGAGGATCTCACTTGGACATCACTGCTTTCAGTTGCTACAGGAACAAAAAAGAAATCTGAAATGGTAGTTCTTCAGGTGGTACAAAGTTCTCTTTTAAGATTGTACGACATCTAAAAGTGAATTACTGAATACATATATGATCAAGGAAATATATAACCCAAATACTTTTGAAACTAGTTTTAAGTTCCAAATCCCAGCACACATCAATTGTATGAATTAAGTATTTTATTCAGAACCTGTATCTTTTAAGACTGGTATAAACAAAAATAAAATACAAACAATTGTTATTGACATAATGGCTGCAGTTGTTAACTGCAAGGATACAGTAAAAAGGAGTCATACTAAATGTTAATGTTCTTGCAAGAGAATTATCCTGGTTACCTTATGGTAGCAAATCCTGGCAAGAAATGATAACTTCATTTCTTATTAAAAGTACTTAAAGAATTATCAAGATCATCAGTTGTGCCACATTAAAATAGCTGTTTATTCAAAAAGAGCCCTTACCTTTCTTATTTTCTAAAAGACCATCCATTTACAGGTAACTACTAATTTTAGATCAGTTGTTCAAACCAGGGTTCTTTCTGTAAATTCACATCTTAGCTTTAGATATAGTAAACTTACACTCATTTTCCCTTTCCAGTCTTGAGGCTAAAACACTTTGTAATAGGAACAATCTAAAATGACTTCATCTTGATTCTCACTTTTCTTCTACTTCATTTTCACTTTCTTCAATGACTGGTTCTTCCTCCTCATCTCCGAAAGTCTGTTCTTGCCTGGTGGTGAAGGACAGCGATCTAGCGGCCACTTCTGCAGCGAGGCCAGCAGTGAAGGTAAATTCCGGTGACAGCTGTAGTTGTGCCAACCTCTGCTTAATGGAGGGCTCTGGTGAGTCTCTGGGATGTGAAGAGGCAGTGGCCAGGCCGCCACTACTGGCCTGCTGTAGTTCATGCTCACTCTTACACTGGTAGTACATTCTTTCTGCAACTCCTTCAAGGATGACCTCATTTGCTGCAGTGTCTTTGTTTTGACATTCTACAGGGTCCTCACATACATACTCAGTCCTACTTATCTCATTGTCGGCTGTGGAAGGTTTACTACTATCTTCATCAGTATCATTTTTATCGACTTCTCCAATATCTGAAGTCATAGATGGTTCTGAATTACTTATGGGTTCCACTGGGTCTACAGGAGACAGGGTTTTCAACACAGCTTCAAAGAAAAAGGAAAGAAAAGGAAAGAAAAGAAAAAAGAAAAATAATAACTAAGGACTCAGCAATGATTTTTAAACTCCCAACAGATTTTTTTCTTAAAGAGAACAATAAATAAAAGCTTAATAAAACTTCCTAGTAAAATGAATATAAATTTATAAATTTGGGAAACAATAAGAGATAAAATGCCTAAGTTAAATAAGATGGAGGTTTGCTAGAGATTTTTTTAAATGAAAGCAATGGTCTTCAAAGTATAGTCTCTGAACCAACAGGATTGGTTGCCCAGGAAGTAGTCAGAAATACGAATTCTAGTGCCTGATCCCAGATTACTGTACTGGAAACTCTGGGACTGGGGGCAAGCTATTTTTGCTAAATCTTCCTCGATTCTGATGCACATTCTGAGAAACACTGATGTTAAAGAATGAGCAATGTAGTTTTTACTGCAAAAAGGCCTCAAGTGACCCAGTGATCATATATTATTAAGTACACACACACACACACACACATACACGCGCGCATACACACACGTTTTTTTACAAGTTAAAGCAATACGGAAACAAATTCAACATGTAATTAATCTGACTTGCCAACCACCTAGAATAGACCCTAATGGAAGCCATATTTCTATACATTTTGCAATGCTACAGAAAAACACAAGTGAAATAAAATCTCATTCAAGATCAACTCTGAACAAAGTACAATCCATAAATAGAATATATATCCATACGGCAGAAGGTTGTCCTTGCAAGGAAAATGAAGTTTTATTTAGCCCCTCTTGATGTTAGTCTCTCCTCCCAGCATGAGGGGTTAGTACAAAACAATCTATTATGAAGCATGACGGAGGGAAAAAGTGCTTCTTGAAGATCTGGCGTATGCTTAAAAAAATATTTGTAAAACGTGTCCACTTCCAAGAACTAACTCCACTAGAGAAGCAGCAACCACAGAAAAAAAAATGGCCACAGCAGGTTCCAGTGTAGAGTTTCCCTCTCTAATTCCATTCGGACTTTACCCCTGTAGGCAGAGATGAAAACAACTCTGGAAGATGTACTGGAAATTTTCATGGGAAAAGCATTTTATGGTATCAGCAAATTTTTATTTATTTTTACAAATGACACAGTATTATTGCTTTTTAAAGTGCAAACAGTATCAAAAGCACATACCTGAGGATGAAACACATTTCTCCCATGTGCCAATTGTATCAATAGGTAATTTTAAAGCTATATGAAGAAAATACTTAACAATAAAAAATATAAGCTTACATCAAGTGCTATTTTCAGTATTTATGTACACATTTAGTCCATAATTCTGCTAGTCCTTAACAAATATAATGCATTAGCATTGGTTGAGGATTGTGATTATTGCTAACTGAGTGGGGAGACAGAATCTGCATAAGGAAAGGATCAGATGACAAGTGTGTTAGAATGTAAGACTCTAGGAGGATACACATTTTTGTGCTAAGGATACAAGTAAACAGAGCCTAGCATCTAATGAGCACTCAGTAACTGTGTGTCAAATAAATAACTTGCTGAATGAAAGCTCTGGGAATAATGAAGCCCTTAAGAATTTACAGAGACAATGCCACCACAAAACCCAAAAACCAAAACAACCTGAACACACACACAAAAGTAGTCATTCATCTTAATTTGTGTAGGCCCAATATATCAACAAGTATATTAAAGGAACTGTTATTCTATTGCTGCTTCTGGGAAGTAATCATTTTCCTTCTCTTCTTTGCTGGTTCAAATATCCTTTATAACTCAATGCAGCCTCTATTGTGAGGTTCTACAGATGTAGGAGAGATGTGGGACTGAAGCAGAGAATTTACAGAAAACGTACTGGTAGAGAAAGCAGCTTGGTAGAGAAGAATGAATGTTAAATGTATCAGTGTGAGTTTTCTTCATGAATAAAAATAGAAGATTTGTGGAAATGCATTCTAACCAGAACATTTTTAAGTTGAAGACAATATTTTCATTAGAAACAAGAGGAAGTTAATGAAATGTTGGGCTTCTATGATGGAGAAGCTAATACAATAAGAGACCATTATAAGTTTTAAGACAGAGTCGTTATCAGTATGCTGTCTAAGAAAAGTCTGGAAAGTTTATAGGATAGCTTAGAAAAAAGGGTACTGAAATGGAAGTCAGCTGAGAGACTATTTTAGTTGCAGACTTAAGTTATAAAATGGGTCAATGAGAAGAAAAAGGAAAGATAAAGGCAAGAAATGTAGAGAGGACAGGAGAGACAAGAAAGGCTTATAAAAGAACACTGAGGAGCTTTCAGAATGGTTATCTACTAGTGTGAGATATAAAGACAGGCAACTGATTTTGAAGGTCCATAAAGATCCTCTAAAATGGAAGGGACTCACATAATCATAGGAATTAATTCAACAAGGAATGAGCTAGGTCAGTCTTGCCAAATATCAAGCTTCTCCTCATCCTTTCCTGTCTAACATGAAGTGTGGCTAAAGAAAGGAGGTGTGAGTAACAGTTTAAGGCTAATTTTTGGTATTATCAGCCACTCAAGCATGTCCAAATTTGAGGATGGAGATGATGTATTCTTCATCCCATAATACAGTCAAATCACTTAAGCAAACCTAAGGCATGGCTAACTGGCCTAGGTCTTAATTCTTTTCAATAGTAAGCACATAATTATTAATTTGGTCCTTCATGAGGTTCTTTTAATATAGTGAACAGAGTTTATAATCTCAAAATCATTGTTTTATTATTATTCTTTGTTGTTACATAGCTCAGGGTGGCCTTGAATTAATGATTCTTATTCATTAACCTTCACAGTACTGGGATGACAGGCTTGATCCACCAATACCTAGCTCAAATTATTCAACTTCATTTCAACTCTGAAACAAATTTAATAAAAAATAAAATAACTGGCAAAAAAGCATGATTTCATATCTATGTATTCTTCATATTTGCTTTTAGATGATAAAGTACTATGCTTTCTGATGGACCTAGAAGTCTACAGTTGAAATAAGATTCATGGCTCAGAAAACAAAGAAATCTCCTTCATTGAAATATGCATTGGCTCTGAAGTTGGAACTTACCGTGATCACTAAACAGGAGCTGCTTCCATTTCTGCCTTTCTGCCTCTGAAGCCTTAAATCCCAGCACAGACTTTAATTCCTGAAGCACCCTCTTGGATTCTTCCTGCTCACGCTTTTGTCTCTCTTTGTCTTCTTGAGACAAATAATAAAAATCATCCTTTCTGAAGTCACTGTCTATATCTATATCATCTACATAAGCTTCTAGTTCCTGAAAATGAATAGAAGAAAAAGCACTTCAATGTAAACAGTTTTTCTACTAGCATCCACTTCATTGTAGCTACTCTTAAGATAAAACCATGATGAGTTACTCTTGGCACAGGTTATCATAGTACAGATAGAGTATGTATGTTGTGTGTGTGTGGGGGGGGGGTAATCACAAACATACTTATGATAAAACCTTCAAGAAGATTCAGTTAACATTAACAGTGTCGTGAACAATTTCTATGGCTGTTTTTCTACTTTGATAACATACTATAGTCAACATTAGAGGTATTTGTTATGCCAATTCCAACCAAAACTGAAAGGGCTGCAAATCTGGGGATGTGGTTAGGCATATTCTTCTTACAGTAAACTCTGGTTCTTTTTGATTTCCAAGGAAGTTCCTAGGATTAGAGAACATGTCATCTTATGGTCCTCCATGTCTCCAAGAAAGGGCAGGGTATTTCTTACCCAGCTGTCCTTGCAGGTAAGGCTCAGGCAAATGCAAAGGGATCCTCTAATCTGATGTGCCTGCACCTGATCTGACTCAGACACACGTGATAATAGTTACAGGCACCTTGAGGAAGGACAGTGGCAGATCAAGTTTCCAGAGGAATTGGTTCTGACGCTACTTTTTACTACTGTCCTAGCAACTCAGCAATGAACTCTCTACTGGAACAGTTCTTTGGAGTGGTAGCGTTTGTTTGCTGTAGACTGGTTCAAGCCTGCTTATCTGACTCTTCAAAATGATCTGTAAGTCATTTAATCACTTTAAACAAATGATGTACTACACTAGGGTTAAGTTCCCATTTGCAAGGAAGAGTACCAAGTAGATAAAATAAGGAAAAGAACAATTTCAGGAATGAGGAAAATAAATCTGTCAATAATAAATGCAATCATTAAAATTTTATTCTTTAAAATATAGAGCCAGGCATGGTATTACACAACTATAATCCTGGCATTTGAGAGCTAATGCAGGAGGATTGAGACTCTGAGGCTAGCCTGGGCTACAAAGCAAAATGAACTAATTAGGTAATTAAGCATTATTAAGGTATATAATACATGCAGTCAAGTGCTCAAATATTAAGTATACAGGATTTTTATGTATGTATACATACTGGTAAGCACTACCTAGAACCAAGATAAAAACACATCCAGCATTCCACTTAGCTTTTATTATATTTCATCACTTTTAAAAGCCTATATAAAATTGAAAAAAATCAGATATCCAGCTGGTGGGCTGGATAATTCAGATCCAAGACACTGAGAATTAATGCTCTGATAGGAATTTTCAGTATTGCATTCAAATTTTGCAGCTCATTAGAAACAAATTCAGCAAGTTACCTGACAATTGTCCATTTGATAATGATTTATATAATTTAAAACAAAGGTGGAAAAACTCTGTATGTAAAAACTCTGTATGTACCAGAAGGTACTTGCCACCCTTACCTGTTCCTCAGGGATGGGGTCTTTGTCTGCAATGTGTAGAGCAGGTGGGATCACAGGTGTGGTGATGCAGTGTGAGTTCTCACATGCCACTTCAGGTTTGCCTGCAAGGGGGAAGGGTATTGAAAAAGGATGAGAAATGTTAAACATGCAACAAAAATACTCCTGCTACTAATCCATTGTTAGCTTCATAGTCCAACTTGTTCCTACTAAAACGTTTTAATTTATGAGTGGAAAAGACAACAAAGTTAACAGTAATATGAGTAGATTTTAATTTACGTTAAAACTCTTAGAGGACCTGGTTTTCTGCTTTCTTTGCCTTAAGCAAAATATTTTGTTCACATCATAGAAATAGTTTTAAGACCTAGCACTATTCTTCCTCACACAAAAAAATAGAAACCAGTCTTTTTTTTGGTACCAGTTCTGGAGCTTGAACTCAGGGCCAGGGCACTATTCTTGAGCCTCTCTGTGCTCAAGGCTAGCACTCTACCACTTGAGCCACAGTGTCACTTCCAGATTTTTCTGTCTTTGTGGTGCTGAGGAATCAAACCCAGGGCTTTCATGCATACTAGGCAAGCACTCTACTGATAAGCCACATTCCCAACCCCCAAATCAGTCTTATACTGATGATATTTTAACTCGAGAAATGGGGCTGGAGAATCCAACTCTTTCTGTATTTGCACCTCCCTTCTCGGTGAGTAGTTTGGCTCTCATCTTTAGAATATTTACTTAAGTCATTCCCTTTATATGTGACTAATCACAACTTCATAAGCCACACTGCTGAGAGTTCTTCCCATCTTTTAGCCCCAGCTTGCTTTGGCCACACTAGCCAATGCCCATCAAGAGTCTCTTCCATCCCTTGTCCTTTTTAAATAGAGTGCTGAATGAAAGGTAGAGAGTAGGATTAGTTATTAGTGTGATTCATGGTTATTACATATATAGGCAGACACATATGGAAATAGACCTGGATTATTTAAGAACCTATATGTACACACAAACGTTGTAGCTCCACCCTTACAATGAGATAGTGTAAAAGCAATTATAAGCTAGACACACTAGTGGCTCAAACCTGTAATCCTAGCTAGTCAGAATGCTGAGATCTGATGATCGTGGTTCAAAGCCAACAAAAAACTCTGTGACACTCTTATCTCCAATTAACCACCAAAAAGCTGGAAGTGGAGTTGTGGTGAGTGGTAGATAGAGTGCTAGCCTTGAGTACAGTGCCCAGGCCCTGAGTTCAAGTCTCTCACACACACACACACACACACACACACACACACACACACACACACACACACACACACACACACACACACACACACACAGCAATTATATATTTTATCCCACAGCAGTAAACATATGTAACACTAAAGATCTTGGTTTCTAAATGCCACTCTCCAATAAAAGGGTTGAAGGTTTCATATAGACAAGGCTGATATCAGACTGAAGCTAAGAAAGCAAGGAAGTGCTCAAATAATAATGTTGATACAAATCAGCTGACACCCCAGTTTGAGAAACAAAGAACATTATAGTAATGAATTAGCATTCACCAAATAAATCAGAATCCATGTTTTTACTGGTCTAAATATGAAAAGAGGGATCTAAGTAAGTAAACTTTTTACCTTACAGTAGACTGCCAAGGTATAAAAGGAAAAATGGAATTAGAACATTACCAATTGGCAACCAACATAGTAATAAAATTCAAGCTAAAACAAACCCAAGTGAGCTGGGAGTGTGGGGCGGGGGGAGGGGAGGGAATAGGTCAGCCCCGGCAGTTAGTGAGATCCCATTTCCAACAATAAGTTGAATATACACCTGTCAGCTACTCAGAAGTGGAGCCTAGTGGCTCACGTCTGTAATCCTAGCTACTCAGAAGGCTGAGATTTGAGGATTGAGGTTCAAAGCCAAGCCAGGCAGGAAAATCCATGATACTCTCATCTCCAACAAACGACTCAGAAAAAGCCAGAAGTGCCACTGTGGCTCAAGTGATAGAGCACTAACCTTGAGCAAAAGCTGAGGAACAGTGCCCGGGACCAGAGTTCAAGTCCCAGGACTAGCAAAAACAAAAACAAAAAGTGGCAGTTCAGTTCTGCCCAGGCATAAATTTGAGACCCCATTTGAAAAATACATAAAACAAAACAGACTGGCAACAGGGCTCAAGTAGCAGAGCACCTGCATAGTGAGTATAAGGCTCTGAGCTCAATCCCCAGAACACGGGTTTTATTTGCTTAAAAAGTTAACTTTGAGTATACTACAAGTTTAGATAATATTAACTTCTGCTGCCTCTTTGTAATTCATACCTCCCTATTTCCAACTCCTAATAATAACTAGTCTGTTTTGACATTTGACATTTTAAAAATGCCATGTACATGAAGTAAGAAGTATGAAGTAGTTTGGGTCTGTCTTCTTTCATCTAGCATAATGCATCAGAGATTGAGATAAAAATTCATCCAGGGCCGGGTGCCTGTGGCTCACACCAGTAATCCTAGCTACTCAGGAGGCTGAGATCTGAGGATAGCAGTTCAAAGCCAGCCAGGGCAGGAAAGTCTGTAAGACTCTTATTTCCAATAAACCACTCAGAAAACTGGAAGTGGCACTGTGGCTCAAGTGGTAGAGTGCTAGCCTTGAGCTGAAGAGCTGAGTTACAGCACCCAGTTCCCAGAGTTCAAGCCCCATGACTGACCAAAAAAAAAAAAATCCTGTTTTCTCTTCTTCTTCTTCTTCCTCTTCTTTTGGTGTTGATAAAGGGCTTACACTTAGGGTAATAAAAGAATGAATTTAACCAAGCATAGTGATCCTATGGGCTATTATTCTATAAGAAAAGGGGTGATACAGTCAGGTTACAGTGGTTCATGCTCATATTCTTTGCTACTCATAATTTTAGCTGTGCTTTTTCCTGCTCAGCTTTTTGTTCTTGGCTGGCTCTCTAGGAATTCAGCCACGTTTCCCATCTGGCAAGCTGGTTAATTGGAGTCTCATGAACTTTTCTGCGCTGGCTGCCTCTGAACCTCAATCCTCAGACCTCAGCTTCCTGAGTAGCTAAGATTATGGGCATGAGTCACCAGAACCTGACTGGATCACTCCTTTTATTGCAGAAGAGTATTCTATTGGATCATTATGCTTGGCTAAATTCGTTCTTTTATTACCCTAAATATACGTTTCTGGAACTCTTAATAATGAAAAAAATACTATTAAAAGTCATCCTTTCATTTCAGTTTTTTATTATTATTAAGGTGTTGTACAGAGGGGTTATCATTTCTTAAGTCAGGTAATGAGTATATTGTTTTTTTGTGGACAATGCACCACTTGCTTTGTTTTCTCCAAGCTTTTCCCTCTTATCCCTGCCCATGAATTGTATAGTTCATTTTTAATATAGTGTCTACTGAATCATTTCAGTTTCTTTTTAGAAAGATTTACTGAATGCTCAAACTGTAATTGTTTTATATGAAAATATAAGCCAACATTTGAATTCAATGACAACTTTTAAACATAAATTTAACAGGTTTTCTCTGTTTACTTTAGTAATCTAAGATTTTGTGAAGCCTAATACCAGACTGGAATGAGTTTGTTTAATGAATATGTGCTAAAGATAGCTCCAAAGGTACCTTTTTTGTCTGTTTTTCTTCGTAACAGTTTGTCCACCTGAGAAATGGCCTCTTCCCAGCAACTGTTGCTTGCTTGAACATGGGGCTCAATCAACTTTAGTTTCTGTTCTAGAACCTGATAGGCCTCTGATACTGGCTCTTGTGTTTCTTTAGTATAAACAAGCTTTTTAAGTTCATCTTCAAGAATTATTACCCTGGATAATAGAGAAAAACAAACATATTTAAAAATATATAATGGAAAACTGTAAGTATCATCTATGTATTTTAAAAATAAGCTTATAAAATAAAAATGCTCCAGAGATAATTAGTGATCTATACCCTTAAAAATGATTTAATGGGGTAGCTCACGCCTTTAATCCTAGCTACTCAGAAGGCAGATTGGGAGGACTCAGATTAGAAGTCAGCCAAGGCAACAAAGTCTGTGAGACCCCATGTCAACCAACAACAACAAAAAAAGCCAGGAGCTGTTGTGTGTGCTTGTTATTACAGTTATGAGAGAAGTGTAAAAAGGAGGTCCCAGCCTAGCCCAGCCAGGGTATAATAAAAAGTAACTGAATCAGGAGGCTGAGCTCTGAAGATCATGGTTCAAAGCCAGCCCAGGCTGGAAAGTCTGTGAGACTCTTTATTTCCAATTAACCAGAAAACCAGAAGTGGTTCAAAGTGGTCCAAAGAGGTTGAGCACTAGTCTTGAGCAGAAAGAGCTTAGGGATAGTGCCCAAACCCTGAGTTCAAACCGCATGCCAACAATATATTTTATTATTTTGTTAAAAATATCTTAAAAAGGATCAGGGCACCAGTGGCTCATACCTATAATGCTGGCTACTCAGGAGGCTAAGATCTGAGGATCACAGTTCAAAGCATGCCTGGGTTGGAAAATCTGTGAGACTCTTCTCTCCAATAAACTACTCAGGAAAAGCCCAAAGTGGTGCTGTGGTTCAAGTGGTAGAATGCTAGCCTTGAGCACAAAAGCTCTGGAACAGTGGCTAGGCCCTGAGTGTAAGCCCTAGGATCAGCACCATATATATGGAAAATACGCTTACATAAAAAGTGAGGAATACCATGTTAGATGAAACATGGCAAAAAGTCATTTGTATAATTTGGCAGGACAGAAAACAGCAACTTCCTGTAAGCTGCTTCATTTGAAGCACCTATATTTGGAAACCAGTTAAGATTATCAGTTAAGTATAAAAGTGAATACATAAATATATGCCTCGTGTGTATGTGTGTAGGGGGGACTGGGGCTTGAGAATTGCTTAATTTTTTTTTCTCTTAAAGCTCTACCACTTAAGTCACACTTTTACTTGTGACTTTTTGCTTGTTAATAATAGAAGATAAGAGTGTTTTGACTTAGTCTGCCAACTGGCTTCTAACCACAATCCTCACATATGTCTCTCTTTTTCCTTTTTTGTCTATTGTGGGGCCTGAACTCTGGGCCTGGGTGCTGTCTCTCAGCTCTTCAGCTCAAGGCTAGCCCTCTACCACTTGAGCCACAGCACTACATCCAGCTTTTTCTGCTTATGTGGTACTGAGGGATCAAACCCAGGGCCTCATTCATGTGAGGCAAGCACTCTACCACTGAGCCACCTTCCCAGTCCTCACATGTCTCTTATTATGGTAGTGTACTCTCTTGGGTGGGGGAATGGTTAGTGTCTAATACCCAAGTGCAGGCAAGAGGTAAGAGGATCCTGCAGAGGCACAGAGTAGAAACAGCAACTGAGCAAAAGGAGAGACTCAAAAAGGTTTCAAAGTATAAGATATAAAGCCATTTTTTAGGAGGTATAGCTCAAATGCTAGAGCTCTTTCCTACTGTACACACATATCATACACACAAAAAGGCATTAAAAAATAACATGCTTCAAAGTGGTATGTATGAACTAAGTATGGTAATAAACACCTACATACCAGCACTCTGAAGGCTGAGGCAGGAAGCTCTTAAGTTCAAGGCCAAGATTCGCTAGTGAATTCAAGGCCCACTTAAGCTATACAGGAAGACCTTATCTCTAAAGTAGTGTATAGAAGCAATATTGAAAAAATCATATGATAATTTGTGACTGGTATACTTTTTGATTAAAGTATTTGGAAAGTCAATGTATAATAGCATATATAGACTACTCTTTTTTTTTTTTTTTTTTGCTGATCCTAGGGTAGGAACTCAGCACTTGGGTTCAGACTTTTAGCTTCTTTTGCTCAAGGCTTGCACTCTACCACTTGAGTCACAGCTCCACTTTTTGGCTTTTCTTTTGTAATTTATTGGAGTCTAGACTCTCACAGACTTTCCTGCCTGGGATAGCTTTGAACAGCAATCCTCAGATCTCAGCCTCTTGAGTAGCTAGGATTACAGGTGTGAGCCACCGGTGTCCAGCTAGACTATTACATTTTAAAACAAGACACTTCTTCACGTAACTCACAATTCCTGTCTGAGGTACAAAGCTCTTTTTATTTGTATTCATGTCCAGGGAGGATATCTCACTTCTTTCCCTAAGCCATTGTCCTTTACTGTAATGCAATCAATACATCTGGTATATTTCTCATTCTATTGCCAGAAACTCTGGTTTTGACAAATGCAACTTCTCTATTGAAATTTCATTTTTCCCTGATGATAATCTAATTTTTGCCATTTATTTAAACAAAAAACGGCCTTATCTCCCATATTCCTCGCTAAAAGGTGGGTTAGCATCCATCTGTTACATTACATCAGCAGACCGAGGAAGTGGAGCTATGGCACAAGTTACAGAACAGCAGATATGAATCACTGCAACACCTTCATCTCAGAGTCTCTTCATTTTCCCCATGCTGTAACCTTTATTTGAGCCTATCCTATCATACCTATCCTAGGCCCGTGAAGTTATAGGAAAGATCTTTCTTCTCAAAATGTTCTTTTTTTTTCTTTTTTTTGTAATAGGACTTGAACTCTGGGCCTGGACCTTGTCCCTCAGCTCTTCAGCTCAAGGCTAGTGCTCTAACACTTGAGCCACAGCACCACTTCTGGTTTTTCTAGTGGTTTATTGGAGATAAGAGTCTCATGGACTTTACTGTCCGGGCTGGCTTTGAACCGTGATCCTCAGATCTCAGCCTCCTGCATAGCTAGAATTACAGGCGTGAGCCACTGGTGTCCAGCTCAAAATATTCTTTTGACCTTAAATTTTTTTTGACCTTAAATTTTTATCCTTGCACATCTTATCTTCATTCTTCTTACAACTCACTTTCTATTTTACTGATATGTCAGAAACGTATCTTACAAAATTAACTGTTGCCCTTTGTTGTTCTTGTCTGGTCTTCTGAGACAAGTAAATTAACTATAATCTTGTCAACTCAGTAAATTCCTAAGACCCTCTTGCTTCCCAACACAATAAGAACCCAAGCATCCAATTGATCTAACTTTGACTAACTTAAAAAAAAAAAAGCTGCATCAGAATGATTGTGTTAGGTATTTTATATTTTGACTCCATTTTCTTTTCTTTATTTTTTGGGGGGATTAAACTCAGGGCTGTGTGTCAAGTGCTCTAAAACTTGAGCTTCCTCTCCCTTCTAGCTCAATAAAAATAAATGAAAATACTACTTTCAAATGGTAAAGGTACACTGAAATGAGATAAAAATGTGGAAACTATGGCTCAGTACTAAAAATATAAAGTAGAAGATCAAGAAATACAAACTGTGTACCCTAGCTTTTACAGTTCAACTAAGCCTCCAAAACTTGCCCTGTATTATAGAAAACTTTCCAAATCTGTTGCAAAAACAGAAAACTTTTTATTCTTCTGGTGCATATGACGATACCTTCTGTACTGCTTTAGGACTGGCAAGTACTTCTCTCAAGACTGCTTGCTCCAGTTTTAAGTCCTACCTTAAGAGCGTTCTATTTCATAATGTCTCCATTTGAGCTTCAGAGACAATGAACATCTGCTTCTGTCGACTTTCTAGGTTTTCTGTTGAAATCAGGAAATGTAAAAACTATAAATGTTCTCCAAAATTAGAGTTCTTACAAATCATGGTTCATCTGCTAGATCCATGGCTATCACCCACCATTCAGGCTGCATGCCTCAACTTTGTTTATTCTTTCTAGCTAGGACCTAGCTGTCAACAATGGTACCAAGAAGCTTGTTAATCATTGTACCATTCCCTTATATAGCTTCTAAACTTACTCATTCAGTAAGGCTTTCAGATGGAGCTGTAAGCTGCGCACTGCTGTGTGAACATTATTCAGTTCTCTTGACTTCTGCTGAGTTTTGGATAAACGCTGGGGAGCTGATTGGTGCTGAGTTTCAAAGTACCGATAGAATTCATAGCTGCGCTTAAGCTCTTCCAAACAGGCAGAATGAGCATGAGGTAGACCTTGAGTCACATCAGATAAAATACGATGAGGCAAATGTGCTGGAGTAAGCAAGGGCCCCAGTGGTGAATTGGCTGGAGAAAGTAGCAGGGCTAACCGTCTGAAGAACTCTGAACTCTGTGCCATCCAGAGTTGGAACAAAACCTAAAAAACAAATCAACATAGAGGGGTGAGAAGTGGGGGAGGAATAATAAAAGATTTTAGCCAACAATCAAAACAAGCTACAGACTTCTTTATTAAGCAATAAAGAAACATCTTAACTTCTAGTTTGGATGTTTCACCTTATCCAAATGAATATAGCTGACCTAATTCTAATTGAGTAGGAACGTTATACCACATTATGTAGGCATGGCATGTAGGAACTTAAGGCCCCAGTTGAGCAGGTAACACCTATATATAATTTAGCCTCTACTATGCTAAATGGGAAGTGTTGATGGAATAAAATACTTATTAGCATCTTCCTTCTTGAGTGAAATTCATATAGAAAGGAAAAACTGTGAGATTAATGTGTGGGCATATGTAAGTCCAAAGAATTAAGTAACTGATTGGTTGATTGAGAGTTTTTGGTTCAAAAATAAGACTATTATTTTGGTCTAGGAACTAGCTAAGTAATTAACACAAAAATCAGTCCAAGAGTGTCCATAGCCCAGGAATGCTAGAACACATGTTTTTGAGAAATACAGCCTGAATCCAGACAGCAAAGGACTCTCTGAATACAGTCCTATTTAAGATAAGGACAGGGTCCCTAAAGCAAATACAGGAGGAGCTGCTTTAATATGAAAACAGGTAGCAGACAACAAAAACAGGATAGAACTATTTTGGAGAACTTAGATCTCAATTATTCACAACTATAAGAATGGGCATTATTACGATGGTTTTATTGAATGAATTTTAAAGTTATACAAGTAATGGATTAACTTCACATAAAGCTGTTTTATCGTTAATATTTTAAGTGAGCAAGGTTAGACTTCTAAACTGCTAAAGATACACTATTTTTGAAAATTCTTGAAAATAAGTCAGCTTACTTGTAAGTCTTCTTATTTAATCAAAGTTTGTGACTATAGTGATTTTCTTTATTGTTTTATTTATTTGTTTAGAAAATACTTCTTGAACATCTATGATAGGACAGGTACTATACTGGGTGCTGATAATATATCTGTGAATAAAATAAAAGAACAAGAATCTCTGCTTGGATGAAGCTTCATTCAAGTGCGTGTAGGAGGAAGACAGATAATGAATAAAAGAATGTTTCTTGGTTGATGGGTTATAGAGACAAGTGCTTCAGAAAAGGAGAACAAGAAGTGTGTGTGTGTGAACAGATGTATACATATGGGGGAGGGGAGAGGAAGGAAGGAATAGAAGGGAAGGGAATTCCCAGGAAGGTCTCTAAAATGTTACTTGAAAGAACTGGTTCATGGACTCTCATGAGGGAAGAGTTATGGGGCAGGAGCCAAGTGAACTTTGGTAAAATCTGGGAAGTCTGGTTTTCCAGATTCACTTTCTCATTTTGCTTTCCTGCCCACACAACTCAGGATTTAACAAGCTTGAAAAACATACTAAAAATGTAAGAAAGTAGGAAAGTCACACAGATACCTTGATTAGTAAACAGATCATTTTTAAAAGGAAATGAAATTCTGTAATTGCTTCTCTCAGTCTGCAAAGAATAACAGCAATTGCCTTTTTTTTTTTTTTGGGTCTGGTCGTGGGGCCTGAACTCTGGGCCTGGGTGCTGTCCTACAGCTCTTCAGCTCAAGACTATAGCGCTCTACCACTTGAGCCACAGCACCACTTCCGGCTTTTTTCTTTTTGCTTATGTGGTGCCCAGGGCCTCAGGCATGCAAGGCAAGTGCTCTACCACTGAGCCATCTTCCTAGCCCAGCAATTGCCTTTTTAAAGTATCCATTTTATGACAAGTCCTGTTTTAGGCTTCGTAGGTTTTCTAACTTAACATCTTACAAAACAAATATAGTTATTCCTCTTTTATAGGCAAATTTAAGTGGTTTATTCCAGGCCAAATGGTTTCAGTCAGGGCTGAAATATAAACTTACCTCTACTTCAACCTTATTCACTAAGAGAGTTGCTCAGATAGTCTTGTGGGGAAAAAAAAAAAAAAAAAACAACCAACTTTTCAATATAGGGTAAAATAGTCATGATATTGAATTGCTGTCCAAAGTCCCACCATTCCAGGATTAACATTAAAAAACAGTTTTAGTTACACCATCTATATATGATATATTCTGAGTATTTTTCTGGAGATAGATGTTCCTATCTGCTTTGATAAAATTTTTGTAAAAAAGTCAGAGCTCCTGCATAATGGTTCACATTTGGCTCTATTATGATTCATGAGCCATTTATCTTTTGCTGAGCATTCAAGCAGTATTCCATTTTATACGACTGCATGCATAAAGCTAATAAGCAACTTGGTAATAATAAGGCTTCACTAGTGGAATTACTTATTCAAAGAACAAATCATGTAAAAAGCTCTTTATATGTCAAACTGCATTCTTCAACAAGTAACTTTAGGAAATTGAGGAAAACAGGAAGAAAACTGTTGCAATGGCTTACCTAAGATATAACGGTAACCAGGCATGGTAATGTACACCTGTAGTCCTAGCTACTTGGGGACTTCAGGCAGGAAGATCTCTAGTTCAAGATCAGCCTGGGCAATATAGTGGGCCCTTTTCTTAGAAAATAAAATTTAAAAAAGAGAGAGAATGGAATAGACATGGTGGCTAAGATGGGAATGTCAGGAGAGATACAGATAAAAGTAGGTGGGTTTAAAATAGGCTTTCTGACTGATGATAATATAAGGTGATAAAATGAGGGATAAAGAAGGATGGTACTCAGGTTTTTAGCCTAAGTTGGGTGGTGCCATTTACGAAGTAGGGGTAAAATAAGGGTTATAAACAAGACAAGGCAAATTTCAAGGAAAGGGAGTAAAAATACCCCAAGAGAATTAGTTTTTTTTTTCCTGCTAGAATGGGTAGTATTAGCAATAGAAATAACTAAACTACACATCCAGCTCCAGAATCAGAGAACAGATACATATTAGAAAAGCTGTAGGATATACAAGTCGATACAGTTAGAAAACCAAAATGGATTTTGATCAATGCTGTCAATTCCACTTCCACTGATTTTCATGGTTATCTAGGGAAGTTTTAAAGACTAAGAAAGAATAAAGGACCGCCAACGTTTTCTAAATATTTAAAAAGGAATTTAAATATTTAAAACCCTAAAGTTTTCTAAATATTTAAAAAGGAATTTAATACCTTTGTGCTGGCCTATAAAAATGCTCAAGGACTTTTACTGCATACATATTTGTCAGTTTTTTGAGACATGGTTTTACGATATAGCCCAGGCTAGTCTTAAACTTACAATCCTCCTGTCAACTTCCAGCTGCTGGGATTACAGGTGTGCACATGACTTATACAACTTACTTTAACTTAGATTTCCCCATGGTATTATATTATTATTATTATTTTGGTCATGGGTCTTAAACTCAGGGCCTGGGTACATCCCTGAGATTTTCTGCTCAGAGCTGGCACTCTACCACTTTGAGACACAGTGCCACTTCTCGTTTTCTGATGGTTAACTGGAGATTGGAGTCTCACAGACTTTCCTGCCCAGACTGGTTTTGAACCACACACCTCAAATCTAAGCCTCCGGAGTATCTGGGATTATAGGCATGAGCCACCAGTGCCAGACCCATAGTATTATTTTTCTTTAGTATTTTTCTAATGACACCAAAGCAGTTTCTTAATTATAAGTACCACAAATCTCTACCAAATCTATATTACTGTATATATAATTTGTTTCCAATATTTGATACTATAGTAGTGTCATAAACACACTTTAGGTGCGTGTCTGATTATTTCCTGAGATAAATCTGTAAGGGTAAAATTGTTGGTAAAGATAAATCCATTGCTAAGGCGAACGACGTTAGTGATGGATTCACTAGTGCAGGAATTCTCCAGATCTTCATTGGATTAATGAATATTAACAATTTCCAACACCCTTGGCAAATTTATTATTTTCAAAATAAAAATATATTTCTCCAATCATGTACGACATCTATTTTCTATTAAGTTTTATTTATTTATTTTTTAGTCTTCACTACCCGTAATCCCCCAGGGCTGAGATACAATTCAGGTCCTCTTGAATGATAGCAAAGTAACCTACCAGAGTAAGCCAAACGCTTAGCCCTATAAACTTTAGACACCGTACATTCAAAGGTAAAGAATATCTTTTATATAAAAAGAATTCAAGGGCTGGGAAGGTGGCTCAGTGGTAGAGCGCTTGTCTGGCATGCAGGAAGCCCTAGGTTCAATTCCTCAGCACCACATAGACAGAAAACAGCCGAAAGTGGCGCTATGGCACAGTGGCAGAGTGCTAGCCTTGAGCAAAAGAAGCTCAGGGACAGTGCCCAGGCCCTGAATTCAGGCCCTAGAATTCAAGTTTTTGCTATAAAACATTGTAATATTTTTACTAATCATATTTAAGGTAGTCCAGCATTTGAAATTATTTTTTATAGTTAATTGTATCCTATTATGAGGATTTTTATTATATGTACATCTATCTATCTATATGATATAATATAATATAAAGAATTTGGGAACGTTCCAAAGGAACAAGTAGATTTCAAAGGCTTTATCCGTGTTTGTTGAAACACTGGCTTCCTATTAAAGTAATTCACTTATTTGGAATGGGGACATGACTGTTTAGTAAGCACAAAGCTCTGAAGTCAAACCCTGATACCATCAATCAGTAAAAATTTTAAAAATTTACTTTTCTCATACTCTAATTGAAGGCATTTCTTTTTTTCTTTTTTTAACGGTACTGGCCCTTGAACTCAAGGCCTTTTGCTTGCTAGGCAAGTGCTCTACCAAGTGAGCCATACCTTCAGCCTAAGGCATTTTGTATTAAGAATGTAAGAGTTTGGTATCAAAACACAAAGATCTCTCCATTTAATCTACATGATTCTCTCTTTTTTTTTTTTTTTTTTGTCGTTGTGGGGCTTGAGCTCTGGGCCTGAGCGCTGTCCCTCAGCTCAAGGCGAGCACTCTACCACTTGAGCTACAGCGCCACTTC